AAATGAAATTGCTGGATCCTTCTTTGTATTTTGTTATATAGCCTTTGTTTTAAACTTTATTTTGTCTGGTATAAGTATTGTTATCCTATCCTTTTTTATTTATTTCTATTTTAATGAAATACATTTTGCTATCCTTTTACTTTCACATCTGTGTGTGTCTATGGATCTGAAGTGAGTCTCTTGTGGATAGCATATGTAAGGGTCTTGTCTTGTTATCCATTCAGCTTCCATATGTCATTTGATTGGATCATTTAATTTATTTACATTTAAAGCAATTGTTGATAGATCTGTATTTATAGTCATTTATTATTCATATTTTATCTTTTTGTACATTACTATTAAAGATACACTTTAGCATATCTTGTAATACAGGTCTGGTGATGATAAACTTCTTTAGCTTTTTCTTGTCTGAGAAGCACTTATCTGTCCTTCAACTCTAAATGATAGCTTTGCTGGGTAGAGTAATCTTGGTTGTAGGTCCTTGCTTTTTATCACTTTGAATATTTTGTGTCAATCCCTTTCTAGCCTGCAAAGTTTCTGTTGAGAAATCAGCTAATATTCTTATGGACGCTCTAGGTAACTAACTACTTTTCTCCTGCTGCTTTTAAAACTCCCTCTTTGTCTTTAACCATTGCTGTACTTTACATCCCCATGATGTGCCTTGGGTGGGCCTCTTGGGCTCATCTTGTTTGGAACTCTTGGACTTGTATGTTAATTTTCTTCACCAGATTAGGGAACTTTTCCATCATTATTTTTTTCAAATAGATTATCAATTCCTTGATCTCTCTTTTCTCCTTCCTGCACCCCTGTGATGCAAATATTGGTATGTTTGTTTCATGTCGTCCCAGAGGCTCCTTTTACTATCCTCATTTTTTAAAAAATCTTTTTTTGTTCTCACTCTTCTGATTGGCTATTTTCTGCTTTCTTATCTTCCAAATCTCTTATTTGATCCTCTGTTTCATCTACTCTAATGTTAATTCTTTATAATGTTATAACATGAAATCATGTTACTCCTTTGCTTAGAACTATTCAATAGCTTCCCGTGACTCTAGAATAGACATGTAGACCCCAGCATTTTAGTTAATATATTCTTAATTTCTGATTGCTTTTTTGTTTTCTATAGTCATTAAAAAATAAATATATACATATATTGATTTCAGAGAGGAAGGGAGAGGGAGAGAGAGAGAGAAACATCTCAGTTCACAGGCCAATGCTCTATCTACCAAGCCACACTGGCTAGCGCTCTATATTTCTTTTTATGTTTCCTTTGTTTTTGTTAAAGTTCTCAGTAAGTCATCTATCCTTCCCCTAAATTTTTTGACTATTTTTGTAACCAGTATTTTGAACTCTGCATTTGACAGATTTCTTGTCATGAGCCTCTGGGACAACATGAAACAAACATAGCAATATTTGCATCACAGGGGTGCAGGAAGGAGAAAAAAGAGACCAAGGAATTGATAATCTATTTGTCTAATAGATTTCACTTAGTTCTATTTCTGGAGTATTTTTCTGTCCTTTCATTTGGGATGCTTATATTTCATCCTCATTTACCAACCTCCCTGGGTATGTTTTTATATATTAGGCAGAGCTGCTATGTATCCTGGACTTGGTAGAGTAAACTTATGTAGTAGGTGTCCTGTAGGGTCAGGTGGTTATGAATGATGGTTATTCTATAGTTTAGTTGTAATTTTGAGGTGTTTGTGGGAGAATTTGAGTGCCTTATTTACCTATGCTGCCATCTTGACCAGAACCCTACATCTCATTAATTTGATTTTAAATATATCTCTTATGTATTCACTTTAATAATTTTAGCTATGGGTATCTCTTTATGGAATTGTTACACTCTCTATTTTCTTCTTCTTTGCTTGTATCACTTAAATTCACATGATATGTGAACTTATAATTGGCCAGTATCCCTGAAATCATGTTACTCCTTTGCTTAGAACTATTCAATAGCTTCCCATGACTCTAGAATAGACATGTAGACCCCAGCAATGGCAAATAGAAAGCTATTGATTTAAACACCCCTTTTCTCCTCAACCTCTCCTTACAACTATCAGCCACATTTTAAAAAGGTTCTATGATTCAGTCCTCCTACAGCCTCTTCACATATTACCTCTGCTATAACATCATTATGTCTATTTTCACCAGTTAATTTCTAATCTACCCCCATATCTCAGTTCAAGGCACAGTCTTCAGGGAACTTTTCTCTACCCAGTCTCAATGTGATTCTTTTTGAGACCCACATTCTCAAAGCAGTTTATTTTAATATTTTTATTGCTAGTCATAGGGATTTTTTAAAATTTAGATTTATTTGAAATTTGATTCTCCAGTGGACTATGATCTGCATAGACAATATTTTATATCTGTTTGTTTGCAATTATAACATTTTTGTTTAGTGTTAATCCTGTCTCATACCTTAAAATAATGGCCAAATGAATAGTGATACTACCTTGAGGACTGATTTCCTTTTCTCCAAATATTAACCTAATATATAATAAAATATGTAAAACGTTGTTCAAAATATAAAACAATATGTAAGTAAACATGAAATTAAGGAAGCCTTTATCAAATGGCCCCCAAATCTTAATAACACAAATATTGATAAAGTTATTTACACATAAAATTTAAAAATATGTATATATATGTATAGTGGACATTTTTCAATATCAATGACTCATGGGGTTTATTTATCATAATACACTCCCACAAATAAATTCGGAAAGCATGAACACGCTAATAGGAAAATAGACAAGAAATATGAGCAGAGAAGTTCAAAGACAGACATGTAAATTGATACATCAAACTGAAAAACTACTAAAATCTATGGTTTATAGCAATAATATTAATTAAATATAACAAAAACAGATTATACTTAATCTTCCAGATGTATCAGAAATATTTATTTTCTCTGCTAAACATTTAGAGAGAAGAACACAGGATAATGACAAACAAATCAATCCTTGAACCTAACAAATGCCAAATCTGTGAAGTCAAGAGCAGACCCCTGATGAGCCTAATAGATGTCATTGTATCATTTGAAGAAGTGGAGGCTGCTACAGAAAGTTTTGAGACCTTGTGAATTTCTTTTCTCTCAATTCAGAGAAATCTCTGATCCCCACCTTCTTTCCTGAGCAGTTACCCACATCAGGGTTTAACTTTCAATTGTATGTTTAGTTAAAAGGCGGCGAATGCCATATTGAATTTGCTTGGTCTTGATGCTGTAAATGATAGGATTCATTAAAGGAGGAAAGAGAAAGTATACATAGCTCATTATAATGTGGACCACTTGTGGCACATTTTCCCCAAACCTATGAATAAATGACAGACCGATAACAGTGACATAGAAGATGAGGACACAACCGATGTGGGAGATACAGGTATTGAGGGCCTTGGCTCTCTCTTTACCAGAGGCTATGCCCATGACTGTCTTAAGAATTAGGATATAGGAGAAAAGGATGATCAAAGAGTCTAAGAAGATTGTTAAAGAAATCAGAATGACAGGGTACAGTCTATTGAAAGTTATGTCAGCACAGGCCAGTTTCATGATTTCTTGGTGAAGACAGAAAGCATGAGAGAGAACATGAGAGTGACAATATGGAAATGAAAAAAGACGCACAATTACAGGCACAATGGATATAAAACCCCTCATAAAAGCTCCCATCCCTAACTTTACAACTCGAGTATTGGTGAGAATGGAAGTATATTTCAAGGGACTGCGAATGGCAATAAAACGGTCATAGGCCATGGCAAGCAAGATACCTGATTCTACAATGGAAAGAGAGTGAATACAGTAGGCCTGCAGGAAACAAGCTCCGTGGCTCATCTCCCGATGATTCACCCATAGTACACCCATTACAGTTGGCATCGTGGTCAATGTTACCATCAGATCTGTTCCTGCCAGCATGGCAAGGAAATAGTACATGGGTTCATGGAGAGTGTGGTCATTCTTGATTAGGTAGAGGAGAGTGCCATTGCCAAAAAGCACAGAAACATAGACTGCAAAGAAGGGGATGGAGATCCAGTGATGAGCTGTTTCCAGGCCTGGGAAGCCAGTCAGCAGAAAGGGGGCAGCACTAATATTGGGCCACATAATATGTCTACAGGTGAGGAGCAGCTTTCTAGAAATCTTTAATCCAGGAAACCAGATTTTTCAGTAGTAATGTATCATGGCAGTATCAGTCACCGTCTTTGAACTTTGGAATAATTAAAATAACTCTGCAACCATTTCCCTGCAGGAGAGTAGAGACTTGCAGGTATTAGTTGAGACGAGGA